AGCTGGGGTCAGAGAACAATGTGACTCTGGTGTCCCAGAGTCAACACAATAGGGGGCCTCCCACAACCAAGTGTCCTGCTTTAAACAAATGCCCATATACAGTTAACAGAAAATCAAAGCAAACATAAGACTGCAAACAAAACACACATTTTAGAACTGAAAATAAAACAACTGGTAGAGCAATAAAATGAAGTCATAAGAGAAAGGACTGGGGGGGGTGACAAGGACGTGTTTCAGGGCACTCAAACAATGGGCGACTTTTAACTGAACACATAGCCAAAGGCTTTTATTCCCCAGCTTACCTAATATTGTGGGAGAGGGTGGAGGACACTCATTCATGCACAGTAGCCAAAATCATGATGACCAATGTTCTATGTGGGACCCGGGTAAAGGTTTTCCAGGTTTCCTCAACTTGGGTGGTGATATGATTTGGCTCTGTGTCACCACCCAAATCTTATGTTGAATTATAATCCTCAATGTTAGGGGAGGGTCCTGGTGGGAGGTGATTGGATGATGTCATGACAGTGAGTGAGTTCTCATGAGATCTGGTTGTTTGAAAGTGTGTAGCACTTCCTTCTTTCTTTCCTTCTTTTCTTTTCTTTCTTTCTTTCTTTCTTTTTCTTTCCTTTCTCTTTCTTTCTTCTTTTCTCTCTCTCTCTCTCTCTCTCTCTCTCTCTCTCTCTCTCTGTCTCTGTCTCTCTCTTTCCTGCTGGCCATGTGAAGATGTGCTTGTTTCCCCTTTGCCTTCTGCCATGATTGTAAGTTTTCGTAGGCCTCCCCAGCCATGCTTCCTGTACAACCTGTGGAACTGTGAGTCAATTAAACCTCTTTTCTTTATAAATTACTGAGTCTCAGGTAGTTCTTTATAGCAATGTGAGAACAGACAAGTGGGCTTGGCTGCCACATGGGGGCTGGCATGAACCAGTAACCCACCAGCCTGCTGGTCAGAATGGTGGGTCTCACATAAGACAGCAGCACTATGACTACTGGTTCATCTGCTTAGGTTCACCACCTGCCAGGGAAAATGATGGCTCTGAAAAGAGCCTTTGGTTAGTGTTATAGCTCTGTAGTGTTAGCAGCTCTTTACTGTTACAGCTTTGGTGTTATAGCTCTTGCAGCTTCACCATCTCTCACCGTCTGTCTACTTGTCTCACTGACTGCCATCTCTCTTCATTGTCTCTCACCAATTACCACCTCTCAGCTGATCACTGATTGCCACCAATTCTGTTGTCTTGCCATCTCACCTCTCCATCGATTGCTGCCATTTTCACTGTCTTTATCCCTTCGTTGGTGGCCAAATGATGCAGGGCATTTGAGCCCCCAAACTGGGGCTTAGCCAGGGAAGGTTCTTGGTGAGCCAGTGGTGTTAGACAGCAACTTTTATTAAAGTGGCAGCATACAGGAGCAGCATAGGTACTACTCCTTGTAGAGCAGGAATACTCCACAGGCAGTGTGCCCACAGTAGCAGCTCAGTAATTTTTACAGTAAAGTTTATACTCACTTTTAATTATATGCAAATTAAGGGGCAGATTATGCAGATATTTCTAGAAAAAGGGTGGTAACTTCCAGGTGTTGCCATGGCAATGGTAAACTGATATGACACATTGGTGGGCATCTCTTATGGAAGGCTACTTCCACCCTGTCCCTGTTTTAGCTAGTCCTCAATTTGGTCCGGTGTCTGAGCTCCACCTCCAGAGTCAAGTCCTACCTTCTAGCTCATAAGCTTAGGATAACGGCCTCTAGCTCTATCCATGTTGCTGCAAAGGACATGAACTTCTCAACATCACTAATCACCAGGGACATGCAAATGAAAAAGATAATGAGATACCATCTTATACCAGTCAGAATAGCTATAATTAAAAAATCAAAAAATAACATGCTGGCAAGGTTGTGGAGAAAAGGGAACACTCATACACTGCTGATGGGAATGTAAATTAGTTCAGCCATTGTGGAAAGCAGTTTGGAAATTCCTCAAAGAACTTAAAAAACACTACCACTCAACCCAGTAATCCCATTACTGGGTATATACCCAAAGGAATATAAATCATTCTACCATAAAGACACATGTATGTATATGTTTATCATAGCACTGTTCACAATAGCAAAGATATGGAATCAACCTAGGTGCTCATTAGAGGTGACTGGATTAAAAAAATGTGAGACATATACACTATGGAATACTATGCAGCCATATAAAAAGAAGTTCATGTCCTTTGCAGAAACATGGATAGAGCTAGAGGCCATTATCCTAAGCAAATTAATGCAGGAACAGAAAACCAAATAATGCACGCTCTCACTCATAAGTGGGAGCTAAATAATGAGTATACATGGACACAAAGGAAACAATAGACACCAGGGCCTACCTGAGGGTGGGGTGTGGTAGGAGGGAGAGGATTTAAAAACTACCTATCAGGTACTAAACTCATTACCTGAGTGATGATATAATCTGTACACCAAACCCTCATGACATGCAATTTACCCAAGTAACAAATGCGTACATGTACCCCTTGAACATAAAATAAAAGTTGGAAAGAAAAATAATTACTCCTCAGAGGATGGCAAGAATAGAATTTGTAAAGTCTGTCATACAGTTCATAACAAGGTATGCTTAGCAGAATCATCTGTGCATGTTTTTGAAAATACAGTACTTGAGTCCCTAGCAACAAAGATTCTGACACAGCAGGTCTAGGATGACATTTGTGTTTTAAAAACCGTCTAAGGCAAGACACTCAAAGTAAATAAAATTCTTGGAGCTCCTACAAGAAGGTTTTTCTAATCTGAGTGAAATAAAAAAGAAAAAAGATTACTGTTTCTTTCTACTTCAAATTCCCCTCCTCTTCTTGGTGATGAGATGGATGCCAGCATGTTGGAGAGCAAGCTAAGAGGGAAGTTGATTTGGAATTACATTTAGTTTGATTTTAGTTGGATAATTTACTCATTTGTGTCTTAATCTCATGTATAATTAAGCAATTACCAGTAAGATTTCTCAAGGTAGCAAGTGGAAGCTCTAAGATTCAAACTAGGGTTGTCAGACTCTAATTATAATAAGTCTAATACTATACTCAATTGTCTTTCATATGCTTAGTAAACCATTGAAAAATCTTAGACCTTACTTTAAAAGCATGGTGGTCTGTCATCGACCTCCTGGCAGCATTTGATACTATTTCCTCCTACCTGATGTTTTATTAGTCTTAGTTCCCACTGCTGCCCAATAAGTAAGCAACATATGATTAATCAAAAATTGACTATTGGTCTTTTTTTTACACCAACCATGCCTGTGGCTTTGCCCAATCACATCTAAATTGGTTCATATTAATTTCTTGAATGAATTGGCATGAAATACTGACACTGACTAAAATACCATAAAACACAAAATATACTACAATGAGGACATTAACATTACACGGATTTGTGTATGCCATTGAGTATACTTAAGATTAGTATCTGCACAAGAAAACTTGAAATGTTCTGAAATCTTAAAACCCATATAAGAAAGAAACTTGACAGAGGTTGACAGCAGTTTCCTCAAATTTGACAAAACTAAAAATGTACCGGTTGCCAATGATAAGTTGTAAAGCTGAAACTTTTATCAATCATAATTTTAAAATTGCTTGACTATGCCAAAGGAAAGATTGGAGTATCTTTTTTTTCTAGAAAATATGTTATTACAGCCGGGCACGGTGGCTCAAGCCTGTAATCCCAGCAGTTTGGGAGGCCGAGACGGGCGGATCACGAGGTCAGGAGATCGAGACCATCCTGGCTAACACGGTGAAACCCCGTCTCTACTAAAAAATACAAAAAACTAGCCGGGCGAGGTGGCGGGCGCCTGTAGTCCCAGCTACTCGGAAGGCTGAGGCAGGAGAATGGCGTAAACCCGGGGGGCGGAGCTTGCAGTGAGCTGAGATCCGGCCACTGCACTCCAGCCCGGGCGACAGAGCCAGACTCTGTCTCAAAAAAAAAAAAAAAAAAAAAAAAAAAAAGAAAAAAGAAAGAAAATATGTTATTACAAAAATGTCATATGAAGAAAAGATCAAAGAATTTGTAGCCAAAAATTGTAGTGAAAAAAATCACTGTAGAGGTATGCCAGGCAGTTAATTAAGACAATGTTATTTTTCTGGAAATTTTTAAAAATATGTCAGCTGTTCAATTTTGTAATTTGTTGTGATTTCTCATAATAAGTAAATGTTAACTTTTGTACATAGTTGCTTGAAATGTTCATACTTTTTAATATTCTTTTTCTTAGAGTCCTCCAAATTATAAATTTCAGTACCCAAAATCCGGACCTGTCCCTGAGGTCATAAAAAGTAGGAGCTTTTGAGTTGCAATTGGAAAGAGTTAATAGGGATGTGGATGTGGTTGAGAACTGGGAAATATAGCAATTGTGGAAGTTGAATTAATATAATTTGTAAAGACTACAACATTATGACCATCTACTGAAATCTGAAAATCCAAGGTGTCCTCTGTACTATGGGATTATGTGACCTCAATGTCTGACTTCATGGAAAAGCCTCACACAACATAGGGGCCCCTCATAAGGGGAGCCTCCAGCTGCTCTGTACATTTCAAACATCCAAAATAGTGGCGCCTAGAGTATCTATATTTGTATTATTATTGAGCAGCAAAAACAGTTGGCTGGGTTATTCACCCACATGCATACTTGAATCTACCTCCTGCTTCCCATCTGAAAATAAATAGCTCTTTTCTATTTTCTAGTGACAAACAGGATGTAGGCTGTTAGTAATAATAGTAAAGATAATAACTATAAGGAACAGAACATACAAATATTGAAAAGAATTGGTGAAACCTCACTCACTCTCCCTCCCAGTTTGTTTCCTGAGCCCCATTTCAGCGTCTGGACAGAACTGCCAGGGAACTGCTAGACTTCAGGATCTTGGGGGAGGGGAGGTGGAGAATTTAGAGACAGGAGAGAAAAAAAGAAGACAGGATCAATTAACTCTAAAAGGCTGATCCTCCTGATAATCTGAGAAAAGCGAATAAATACTCTAGGAAGATGATACCTTTTCAGATTGTCAGGTTGGGCTGGGGATGGGCAACCCGGCTTCTGCTGAAGTGCTGTTGGGAGGGCTAATTAGGGATCCGAGCTCACTGTTAACACACGGGCCTCACTGGACAAAGGGCTGACGTGAATTGAAGTCAGTATATAGTCTGAGTTCTCTTTCCATCCTGAGCACCATCTCCCTATTGCCTTAGAGGCAGGCGGGAGCGCTTCTTGCTACTAAACAGAAAAGGAGGAGACTACTGTTGGCCGCGGATCTGAAAAGGTTTGAATGATTACAGGCTATCTGAAGGCGAAGCAGAAGATCATAACGCGTCCAAGACTGCGTTGACTATACCCCTTTCCGGCCCCTACGCCGATTTATTTTAGGGGGAAAAAATGGTGGGCTTGGGGGAGGGATCTGGGATGGGAATGGCGGTCAGGTTTGTGTACCGGGCCCCTATTGTATTGAAAGCAAGCTAGCTTCTCGCTCAGGGAAAGGGGAGGAGAAAAATGTCCTGGCTCTCCGCAAGTCAAGTCGGTGTGAGGGGAGGAATCACCTGCAAACCTCTGGAATGGAAAACGGACACCGCAGCGGGTCTTGTACTGCAGTTCCCACAGCCACGCCCCCTGCCCATTTTAATTCAGAAAATGGTGGGCAGTGGGGAATGCTGGGGAGATGAGCAGAAACCCTGTGTGGATGTTAGCTTCCTATTACAGAGGATGTGGGAGTTTTGAGCGAAAGATGGAAAAAGAGGTAAGCACCCCATCCCTGAAGGTGGGCGTGAGAGTGGTGGGTGGGGTCGGGCGCCTTTCTGAAACTGCATTCCCTACACTCCTGCCCTGCCTCCTCATTCCCTTTTGGGGAAAAAAAAAATCTCAGCGGCTTAACACTGCAAAGGTTTATTTCTAGCTCACAATAAATGCCCAACATGTGTTGGTGAAAGTGTGGGGTGAAAGGGCCCTGGTCCCCAGTCTCAGGACCTCAGGCTGACAGAAGCTCTACAGCCTGGAACATCACGGATCACTATGGCAGGGGTAGAGAGTAATGGAAGACTCTCATCCCACTATAGGTTAGTCTAGAAGTAACCTGTTACTGCGGTTGACAGCTGATTAGCCAAAACTGTCATATGGTCTCACCTCACAGTAAGGGGATAGAGGGGACAGGGGACTAGAAAGTATAGTTTTCTGTGTAGGGTGGGTGTAAAGTGAGAAAAAGAAACTATAATAAAATATTCATAAGAATTCAAGGGGAAAACGCCTTTCTAAAATACTAAAACAAAACAAAAAATTAAAAGTTCTAAAGAAAAAGTAGCAAGTGTAATATAAGAAAATTAAGCTTCTATGGAGCAAAGCAAGAATGAATGTGACCTTTGCTTTTGGTTTTCTCTGTGATGCCATTTTGGAGCTCTTCATGTCTCCAGACCATTCTTCAAGGCCAATGGCAGCCTGATGGGTAATAGTCAAACTGGAATTCTGGCTGGAGTGAGATCAGGTTCCAGGCTCACTGGAATTAGTTTTATAAGAAAGGATAAATCCATCCCCCTAACGCTAAGAGTGGTGGTGCTTAGGCAGGAGGTGGAAGGGCTCACTCAGGCCACATTCCCCTCTGGGGTGGGTCTGACTGTTGTTTCTCTGCTCCAGCCTACAGCAGGCACAGGGCCCTCTTAGGCTAATGGTCAAGCTGCCCTGCACAGACATACCTGGAGGAGGAGAACTGACTGCCCCATTGCAGGTCAGAGCACTTTGCCTCTCCCTCCCTTTCCCTTTCTCTTTTGGGGAACATTTTGCAGGGGAGGAGATAAAGCCCCAAAGCATCCTGGCAGGAAACATTCATTGGGATAGTCTTTGAGCAAACAGATGTCTGAACAGATCTGACCAGGTAACTTGGGGTTGAAGCAGAAGAGGCTGACCCTTTTCTCAGAGTCCAGTGAAGTAGCCCCCAAGAAGACTGGGGCAAAAATGGGGTTAGACAGCACACAAAACCTCACCCATCCCTCTCCCACCCACCTTGCTCAGGCTCCCAGAAGGACCTTGATGTGCACTGGCCTGTTTGGTTGGTTCTGCAAGGACTTTAGCTCTGTGTCTGCCTGGTGCAGTGCATCTGATGCCTCAGTCATCCCAAGCCCAGAAGTACAGAAGACCCCAGATAAAGGGAATTTGCAAACACATGTGGTCCTACAACTTAGGAGAAAGGGGGTATCACCTCCTATCTGAAAATCCCCATGTACTGCAGGCCCAGCTCACGACTTGGGAGCCAGGACAGTCAAGCTGTGAATTGGTGTGAAGGTGCTTTTTAAGGCATTGGTGGTGGAGGGTCAGCAGCATCCAGAGCCTGCTGCTGTGGGCCCCTCACCACCTCCCTACCCACACAGAAGGCTGGAATGTCAATCACATATCCAAGCAGTTACTTACCTGGCCAATTGCAGAGCAGAAAGCACGGAACATCTAGAACCTTGGAGAGAGAGCTCTGTGCTAACCAGGATCCCCCTGCTCTTAGGAGACAGTGCAAAAGAGTGTGAGACCCTCTGATGAGGAAGCGTAGAAGGGATCAGGCTCAGGGTCTTTGCAAAATATTCAGGGTTCAGTCAGCAGAAGGTAAGTGGACTGCAAGGAAACAGTCACTGAATCTACCCTTACATTCATGATTCATGCTAAGGACACACTTTTCCCAGACTGCTCCCATACCATGAGTTAGCACAGCTGAGCCACTAGAGCCATGCCATTTCTGCTCAATGGGAGACTTTTAATCTTTGCTTGTACTCCCCATTGGCCTGGTCCAGAGCTTCTCAAATGCACTGAAGTCTGAGACTCTTTCTACCTAACTCTTCTTCCTTCCCTCTGCTTTCCAGATGTGACATGTGGATCACAGTCTAAAGGCTCTCCCCATCTTCTCTTGTTCTTTCTCCCTTTGTCTATCGTGTTTCTCCAGTAAATCTATTTATGTCTAATCTTATTTTGACATCAGCTTTTAGGTGGGCCTGTTATACAGTCAGGGTGCTTTCACAAATGAGATCTCAAGTTTCACATTTCTCAAAATATGCTCCTTTTCAGAGAGCCACGATAGTACAGTAGCTAAGAGTTGTCAAGAGTAGTCACTAACTGGGTTCAAATCCCAGATCTGCCACTCTTAGCTGTGCCTCTGTGCCTCTTTTGTAAAATGGGGATAATTCCATTACTTCCTCTTAGGGTTGCTGTGAGGTTTACATAAATTATTACATAGTCCATTTAGTGTCAACACATAGTAAGTAATAAATATCAGCTGGGTGTTTGTTTGTTTGTTTACCGTCTCTGATAGATAAAGTCAGAGAAGGGGGAAAGATCTTACCAGGTCCAGTAGCTATTGAAGGGTTTGGCACTGGAACTCTCATTCTAAAGTTCTGGAGCTCTAAGTACACGTGCTTTATTGATTTTTAACCTATAAGCTAAAATTAAGTTTCAGGAAAACATATGAAACAGTTAAATAGCTTGATTATTGTTGCCCCCTACTTTCAACTTCGTTGGATGGGTAACTCCCAAAAGGAAAATGGTATGATGATATTGTTCCTTTTCCTGTAGGATCCATCAGACAGCTCATTCTAGAATACAGAAATGGCACTGAAGATCATACCTGTGTTTTCTCCTTCTTGTTATTGCATTTACAAATGTTCTTTAGAAAGTAAAGAATGTCAAAGGCATAACTTTCAAGGAAAGGAGGAGGCAGGTAGGAAGGGAACTAATATTTGTTTGAGTGTCCACTATGGGCCAGATGAAGTGTTTTGTATTTTAAGTTGGTTCTCTCTTTAATTCCCATAATTCTGTAGGTAGGCAGAATTGCTTTCTACCAAGGTAGGCAGCAGTATCTTCCCTAAACGAAGAAGAAACGGAACTCAGAGGTTGAGTATATATTCCAAGACCCTAAATCTAGTAAGTTTGAGAGCTTGGATTCGAACCCAGGTTTGTCACACTCCAAAACCCACACTCTCCCCCACTCTACCTTAAAAAAATTTTTTTAACGTTATACTGTGACCTTCCAGGACTCAGGGACTAGTTGGTTTAGATTTCCATGACAGGGTGTTAAATTAAAAGTTTCCTCTTAGGCATTAAGATATAACAGATATGAAATCAAAGCCAGGTTTTCAAAGGAAATAACCAAGCGGCTCTAAAACTCACAAGGAGGATTAAAAGGGACAAGAGAGGAGATATGAAGAAGGAAGTTTTGTGAGGAAGATTTCTTTGTAATGAGCTTCCAAGTTGGAAGAGTTGAGGTGCTTTCCTTTTCAGTCCATGGATTCAACTGGATCCCCTAAAGCTTGATATGTGTCTCCTGGAGTTGGAAGGCACAGTGGAATGTGATCTGCTTCTAGACTGACAAATCTTACTGGCTAGAGAATGTGGCTGTGGTGATGGTGGGAGTGGTAACTGTGTTGTGATCTGTCTGCATTTCCAGTTTGTTGGGGGCAAAAGATAGATACATGTTTCCCATGTACAAGAAGCGGGCCATGAAGGAGAGCGAGCTGCTCTCAAAGAGAGCTGTTTGGGGATGCTACAGATTCCAGCTGAAAAACCCTATGGAATGGACAGCTGAAAAACTCAGAGCTGAAGGAGAAACAGCAATAGCATGTTTTGTTTTTGATACAGAGGTAGCAGTAAGGGAGCCTCTGATGAGAGTCTCGTTTAAACAGCTAGATCCATACAGACTAAAGGCAACTTACTACATAACCAGACAAGAATTTTCTGCTCCTTTCCCCCTTACTCTTTCCCATCACTCCAACCCCGGACAGGCCTGAAGTCAAAATTAGCAAGCTGGGGAAGGAAGATGGGCAAAGAGAAGAAACTCAGTGCATCCCTTTGCTCAAATATGGGAGGTTGCCTTAAGTTGGTGCTAGGTTAGCAGAGAAGGTTTAACTCTAAATCAAGTTCAGTGGCCCTTTATTATTTGGAACTTGGTGTTCTAATCACTGAATTGAGGCTCAATTTGTGATTTAAAGTGACTGTAAGGTGGCAGGAAAGCCATGGGGCCTGAGAGAAATGTAATTTTAAAAGTACAGGATTAGACAAAAGTAAAGTTACATTTTGATTGTATCTCACCAATAGTTCTTGCTCAATATACTAACTACATTTGCTTGGTGTGGTGTTTATGATGTGCCATACTCCTGTGGATGAAAACTACTACTGTTTTTGCATTAATTTTGCTACACCATCTTTCTTTTGCTTAGTATTTGCCTGGTATATTTTTTCCATCCTTTTATTTTGAGCTTTTCTGGATAATTGTAAGTGTGCCTCTGAGAAAAGGCATCAAACTGGATTCTGTGTCTTATAAAAAAAAAAACTGAGGTTTTCTTTTAATATGTGAGTTTAATCCACATATATTTATTATCACTGATCCACTGTAGATATATTTCTACCTTTTTACTTTGTGTTTTCTATTTACCATGTATTTAATTTGCATGTTCCCCTCCCCTCCTTTCCTGCCTTGTTAGACCAATGGAGTTTTCTTTGGAGTTTTGGAATTTACATATTGTCATGGCTTTAATGTGTCCCCCAAAGCTCATGTGTTGGAAACTTAATCCCCAATGCAAGAATGTTGAGAGGTGGGACCTTTAGGAGGCGATTAGGTCATGGGGCTCTTCCCTCATGAATGGATTCACACTGTTATTGTGGGAGTAGGTTTGTTATCTCAAGAGTGTGTTCCTGATAAAAGGATGAGTTCTGCTGCCTTCTTCCCCACCCCCTGCTCTTTTGACCTTCTGCCTTCCACCATGGGATGAAGGCCCT